CATCGATTATGTATGTGGCATATAATGAAAAAGTTGAAAAAAAGGTATTATTTTAATATAATGAATATTGATTGTTATTTTACTTATTATTATTTATTCATTTATGAATATTTTTGTTTTAATACAGATATCAGATGATTTATTTACGAACACAGACTTTAGAAAAAGGTTTTCGAAGCTTCTTTGGGACATTAATATGAAACCTGATGTTTTTGAGGTGAAGTGGGGTTTGCTTATGAAGGAATTCAATCTTGAAGACACAAGATGGTTTAAAGATATGTTTACAATACGTGAGTCATGGATACCTGGATATTTTAGTGATATTCCAATGTGTGGTTTGATGAAGACTACGTCGAGGTCAGAGAGTATGAATTCATTCTTTAATACATACTCAGAAAGTGGGAACTTACTTTTGAATTTCATGATGAATTACGACACTGCCATTCAAACGCAAATGAATACTCAACGAGAGCTTGACAAGGCATCAAAGAAAGCATCATATAAAATGCAAACACCTCGAGAAATAGAACTGCAAGCATTAAAGGTTTATACAAGTACATTATTTTTTGAGGTGCAAAAAGAAATATATAAAGCATGTTTTCTGTACATACTCATATGTTGGTATTGAAGATGGTTGGGAAGTTTACATTGTGCAGCACAACAACAGTAAAAGCGAATTTAAAAATGAATTTAAGGTAATTTACTAGTTTTTTATGAAATATGTAATAATATTCATATATGAATATGAGAATATTCATATATGAATATTCTCATATTCATATATGAATATTCTCATATTCATATATGAATATTCATATTTTCATATATGAATATATGAGTGTTGATATGAGTATTCTTATATGAATGTAAATGTGTAAATTTTGTTTTTGTATCTGGTTGAAATAAAAGCTGAAGAGAAAGAAATAAATTGCAGTTGTGAACATTTTAAGCGTATGGGTGTTTTATGCAGACATGCTTTTACAATAATGATGAGATGTGGTGTTAAAGAAATTTCTGAAAGGTACATTTTAAAAAGATGGAGAAAGGATGTGATATCAAGAAATTATCGTTTTAGTTCTCTTCAATCCGATTCAAAAGTGATTGTGAGAATGTAAAGCTAGTGAATGATTCATATTATAGTTTTGAATCATGTTTGGATATTGTAAGAGACGACAAAAAGAAATTTATTTTGTTTGCTGAGAAACAACAAATGATGTTGAAGGAATTTGAGAGTGATTAAATATCTGTTGGATTGAAAAGCAAGACAGATGGTGAAGTTGTATGCAAGCTTTTGGGTGTTACTATTCCTATTCCAGAAGAGATTAATATTCACGTTCCTGAAGTTCAAAGCAATAAAGGTTCTGGAATCAAGAAAAGAATTCCAAGTGCAGGTGAAGTAGCATATGAAAATTCTAAAAAAGAACAAAGAATGTGTTCAGGATGTGGAAAACGAGTTCACACAATTTACGTACTTGTCCAGAAAGAGTTGGAGCTGCTAAATCAGCAAAAGACAGTTAAGGATTTTTTAGTTTTTTATTTATTATTTTTTTTTTTTTGGTTTTATTCATTTATGAATATATGCAGATAAAAACAATAAACAATAATATTCATGTATGAATAATACACATTTATATTGATACGGTAAATTGATATGTTGATATTTGTTTTTTAAATTACTATAAAATAAGTTATATTGATATGGTAAATTATTCATAAATGAATAATACCATATCAATAATATGTGGATTCATTTATCATTGAAGATGTTATTATTTACATATTAAAGGTAAATGAATATAACATGTTTGTGTTCAATTATGATTAAACTAAAATAAAATTGAGAAATGTATATACCATAAATGAATACAAATATGTATATTCATACATAAATTTTGTTATACTCATATAGTAATAAATAAGTTATATTCATAAATGAATACAAATATGTAAGATGACAAAAAGAAATTGGCTTTGTTTGATGAGAAACAACAGATGATGTTGAAGGAATTTGAGAGCGAGAGTGATTATACATCTGCGAGATTGAAAATCAAGATAGATGTTGAAGTTGTATGTAAACTAATATAAATGAATATAAATATGTGAAATTTGTTATACTAATAAATAAGTTATATTCATATGTGAACTTTTTTATGTTAATATCTGAACTTTGTTATACTAACATATTACTTTGAATATAATCATAAATTAATATATCATATTCGTATTCATTTATGAATAAACAGAAATAAAATTTGAAAATATTTGAATATAAAAAATGACATAAATAAGCTAACTTGTTTCTACTAATAAAATAAGTTATATTCATATCTGAAATTTGTTATATTCATATATGAAATTTGTTATACTGACATATTACTACTAATTTAATCATAAATGAATATATCATATTCGTATTCATTTATAAATAAGCGGAAATAATCTTTGAAAATATTTGAATATCAAAAAATGACAGAAATAAGCAAACTTGTTTCTATTACATAATCATTCATCACAAGATTATAAAACCTGTTCATAAGCATTTCACAAACTATTTAAACGATGTTCAATAACATTTAACAAACCATCTAAAACTTGTACTTCAAATTCATTCATCTTCAACACAAACTATTCTGTAGAATCACACTTCATCACAGCAATCATCAATATTCTTTTAACCTTTTTTGAATTGTTTGCATAGCCTTATATGCATGATTAATACGCACTTTGAATTCAACTTTTTGATATTTTTCAGCAAGATCCAACACCTTAGCCTTCAACATGTTAATTTCAGAAGTTAGCATTCGGTGTGCATAGCTTTGCCTGAGCTTCTCTAAAGTAGTTTGTTGAACTGTACTTTCTTTATGAAGACCTGGTTTCCACTTTGAGAGTGGTTGTCCCATATAGGTCTCCATATGTCTCATTGCAAAGACCCCACAATCAACTTTGTTTTTAACTGTTCTCCATGTCATTTCAAGTCGTTGGGGTGTGATACTTTCTTTTGAGATTGCATTTGCTCTTGGATGGTTTATTTCTTTAAAGTATCTCACAAACAATTTTTTTTGATCATTAAATAAAATAAAAGTTAGATATGTAATAAGTTGGTTCTTTTATGTTGTTGTGAATTCGGTACATACCAAAGGTTTCAATAGTACTTCGTATTTCCCTTCATAATCCCCCTCAACTGCATTGTTGTCCAGAATTTCAATTGATGGTTTCTTTAAGTTAAAGACAATCACAAAAATGTGAGCACTTCTAACAACTGGAAAGAATACCTGCTTTTAGGTATATAATGGTAAGTATTTTATTGATAAAATATATATAAAAAAAACAAGTTTAATTAACATACCATGTCAATATCTTTTATGTTCAAGATTTTTTTGTACCCATCGGTACTGTCATGAAAGTTCTCCTTGAATTTTTCATACTTTCTTTCATCAGACAATGTTGAAGTTAGATAAGCAGTCTGTAACCAATATAATTTTAAAGGATTAGTAAATTGTTAATCATAAATGAATACATCATGTTGGTATAATAATCATAAGTATATACTAAATATATTTATTTTGATTTTTTTATTCAAAGATGAATACATAATGATATGTGAATTTCAGTTGAATATACATAATTAAATTAAAGAATACATCATATTGGTATAATCATATGTAAATTTCAGTTGTAAAAAAGTATAATATTCATAAATGAATACATCATATTGGTGTATTCATTTATCAATAAAGAAGAAATTAAGGTTAGAACATAAACTTTCAAGAAGAGTCTGTATGGCGAATTTCCAAAATCCCTTTCCAGTTCTTGGTGGTTAAGTAAATCAGCCCAAGTGTCTAAAACTTCTCCAAAAATCTCTGTGCTTGCATATAGACTTTCCATAAATGCTCTTTCTGTTACCTGACCATATTTTGTCTGGACAACCACATCTTTGCAAATATATAATCAAAATGTCATACATTATTATCTATATAATAATCATATAGGAATGTCTATAAAATAAAGTAACTTACGATGTATTCCCTTACAAGTTGAACAACCACTCACAGACAATACTCTCCTGATGTGTCAGTTTAGATTTTGTGTCTATTATTCTGCATTTGAAAGGTGATTTGATAACATCGGCAAGCTTCTTATCTCTTGGTTCATCCAGATCATGCTTTGATGGTTCTACTTCAGTAGAAATTGCTATAGAGATTGGTTTTGGATTAAGAACGTTTTTGTTTGCTAATCTAATAACAACTTTCTGATTGTGGTCTTTCATTTGTTTCTTTGTAAGTGGTTTTTTTAGTGAAGATTCATAGATTTTTTACTTGAAGTTTGATCTGAATCTTGACTGAGACCTAGACTAAAACTTGGATGAGTATCTGCATGCCAAAAGATTTATCATGTAAATAGTTGTAAGTTAATTATAATATTATTTTTTATATTTTGAAATGTTTTTTCCAAATTGTTACCTCCTTCATTCCCTTTTGTTTTGTCAGCTTTTTGTCATTCATTGTTTTCATTTTCTGACTTTTTCTTTCCTGAAAGATAAAGAAATTTGATTAAATTATCCATTTTGTGAATAAGTAATGTATTCATTTATGAATAAGTAATGCGTATCATTATTTATGAATAAGTAATATTATATTTTTTTTGTATATTGTGTTATTTATTTGTGAATAATAAAATTTATTATATTCATTTATTAGTGATTCAACTATTTACCTTTATCTTTTGCATTTCTTTTCTCAATTTCTGTTTGTTTATTTTCACCTCCATCTTTCGTGTTCTTAGCTTCTGCTCCTTGTTTATTTGTATGTTCAGAGTTTTCCTTGCCTGAAACATATACATCATATATGAATAATTTTTATTTTTTACTCATTTATATAGTGTATTATTCACTTATGAATAAACAATGTTATTAAAAAAATCAATATAAATATTGTAATATATTTTAAATCATTCATTTACCTGTATCATCTCCGTTCGTTTTTTCAACCTCTTTTCCTTCTTCATGTACACCTTTTGATTTTTTTCTTTTCTGCAAGAGTATTACTTTTACTTCTACTCATTGGTGACCCTGGTCAAAATTTAATAAACAAAATTGTTATTGTTTATTAATATTTTTATATATTTTTTTAAAATAAAAGTAAGACAAAATTTACCTATATCAATATTATCCAAAATAGTTTTCATTTCAGGGTCATTCCAGATTTCATCTTCTTGACTATTTAAACTTGAAATTCCAACTCCAAGGACATTATCCACAATGTTGTCAACAACTTTATCCAACAAATTTTCATTTTCAGTTTGTTGAATAGTCTCTTCATGATTATTTGTTTCTTCAGCATCATGATGTTTTTTCTCTTCATCATTGTCATTTTCATTGTTCTTTCCATCTTTCTCTTTTACTTCAGTTTCACCTTCTTTTTTATTCTTATCTCCATCATTCTTTATTTCTTCATTCTCTGCTTCATTTGAATCAAGCAAGTAATCCACTTTCGGTTGACTTCCATCATTATCATTTTCTTCTTCTCGATTTCCTTCATCATCTTCATTTTCTTTTTGATCATTTGTTTTTTGACCCATTATTGGTGTCAAATTGATACCTTCAACTCCAGTTTCATTACTTGGAAATTCAAAAAGTGTTGTGCTTTCAGTTTTTTCTTCAACAATTGTATTTGTCATTTTTTCTATGAAAATCCTAAAACTTTCCTTTTGTAGGGAACTTTGTTATCACATCATTGAGCTTTGAATTCAGCTTTTCCTTCATCCTCTGAAAACTATTAAGCATTTTAGATATTTTTGTTGGATTAGTGTCTAAGCCAGTAACTATATTTGGTAAGTATTTGACCCGGTTGTGCATGGTCCTTTTGGGTTGCCTTCACCATAGCAACTTGACAGGGTGATTTATGAAGAGAGAGAGAAGATATTATGTTTTATTAATATCTTATGAGAATAATGTATTAAAGGAATAATCATATTATTTAATTAATATTGGTCATAAATTAATTCAGAATTAATTTGGTGACTAAAAGAGATTAATTAAATAAAGGGGACTGGAACTGTCAATTGTGTGATAGTTGGTTTCGGGCTATGGATCCTTATGAATATAGGGTGGACGAAATTAAGGTGTATGGACTCCTTGAATTCATCCAAGCCTTATTCTAGAGGGATCCTTGGATTGCTTAGGGCCTAAGTTATTCAATTAGGGTTTCAGGATGTAACCCTAGCAGCTCAAGTATTTAAAGACCCCAAGGGCTACATAAATCGGCTACCAGAAACCCTAAGGAGTTCCTAAGAGCCGATTTTGTGCCTACATCCTCTCTCCAAATCATCCTCTTGCTAGTTGGTGTTTGTAAGCCATTAGAGGAGTGACAATTATGACTCTAAGCTCCAAGAAGAAGAAGATTCAAGCAAGCAATAAGAGGTAATCATCTAGATCTGATTTGTCTCATCAAATTTGAATTATACTCACTAGATCTAGGGTTTGCAAGACTTGGATAAATTGCATGTTCAATTAGAGAAACCTAGATCCAATCATTAGGGTTTGCATGTGCACATAGGAAAGTTCTTATGGCTAAAACCCATCAATTTTTGATTCATATGCCTATGTAATAAAAAGAAGTATGATTAGAATTTAATGTAATCATATATTATTAACATGTTCAAACTAATTACCTCAACAAAATGATCTTCATCTTTATCAGAATCACTGTCTTCGAGATCTGTCTCTCCTTCATCTTGTTCATTAACAAATTCTTCATTTAATTCTCCAAGTCCAAATCTACCTTTTTCTTGTTCAAATGTCTCTCGATATCTAATCTTCTCTGAACTCCAATAACAAATTGTTGGACGTTTACGTGTTAACGTTAAAGCTTCTGAGCGGATGTTATCAGTATAGAACAACTGCACATAAATGATAACTAATTGATATTCATATATGAACAAGTAAATATTAGTTTTTACTTATTCATATATGAATAAGTAATGTAAAGCATCGCGTGTGAACAAGTATATTTTTATTATTCATATATGAATATGTGCTATTAGTTTATGAATAATAATTATTATTAAAAATTGAGTATAAACATTATAATAATTTATCACCAAGAAAGCTGAAGGTCCAACAAAGAAGCTGTTATCTGAGTATGGTATGTATGAGTTCTTTGTTCTGACAAGACAGTCCAAAACATAGTTGCACCAGTCTATGTTGCTGATATCTGTTTTTCTTGAAATATAACTCAAAGGAAAGAGGTTGCATCTTCCCATTGATGTTGACTCGCAAAACGTGTTGACAAAAAGAACTAAGAAGTTCAATTGGAAATTGAAATCAGCTTGTGTGGTAGAAACAATAACATTTTTGATTGCACTCAGTCGGATGATTGAATCTTTTTTAAATTGTTGCTTCCATTAACCATAACTTGTATCATCCTTAGGCCATTGATCCAGTTGTGTAAGTATGGTTCCACCAATTGGTATGCCCAACATGTCATGAACAGACTCTGTTGTTACTTTCAGTTCCTTTCCTTCAATATCTATCACCATTCTCTCAGAATCAAATTTTTGAAGAACATAAAATCTCAGCTTCAGTGGTATATCTGTGATTTTCATTTTTAATAAAGCTCTAAAACCCATAGATCTTACACATTCTTTTTGTTCTTTGCTCAACCCAAGGATTATAGATAGTAATGACTCTGGTGAACATCTGTTTTTCATTGATTAAAATTCATTTACCACTGTTTTTTTTGTCTTTCTTGATTGGTGACTCCTTTTTTTTTGTCTTTTTTGATGGACGACTACTTTCAAAATCAGAGTCTGAATCATGTAGTTCTCGTTTTTCAGGAGTTTTCCTTTTTGATGGACTTTTTCTGCTTTGATGCTTTATTTTCTTTGGTGTTTTTGTTTCTTTTTTATCTGGGAAATGAAAACATATAATATTTGAATAAGTTATTGATATATGAATATGATATATGCTCGTTGATTTATTAATATTTATTTATTACAAAAATATAATTAAGATATACAATTTTATTCATATATGAATATATTAGATATGATAGGAATTTTGTACCTTTCGTATTTTTCCTCTTCAAATCTGTTTCTATCATTGTTGTGGGGTCTTTATCAGAAGTACAAATCTTCTTACCTTCATGAATTAGTGAGTAGAAGATTAATAATTTTGAAATACATTTTACAAATAAAATATTTTTATTCATAAACGAATATAGAATATTCATTTAAAAGATATGATATGTATTTTATACCTTTTTGATTTTTGTGCATTGATCTTGTTTCTCTCATTGTTGGTGAATCTTTATCGAAAATGTTAGTGTTCTTACCTTCATTCAATAGTAAGTAGAAGATAAATGAGATTGATATTCACAAATGAATATTAGAATAAAACATATATATTCATATTTTTTATTTACATATGAATATGTTTTGTTATATTCATATCTGAATAGAACATATATAAGTCATTTTTGTTGTATTCACATTTGAATAATGTATGTATGACAGCTAGTTATGTTCTATTCATATGTGAATATAACATACATGTTCAGAAATGAATATTTGAATAAAACATATATATTCATATTTTTTTATTGACATATGAATATTTTTTGTTATATTCATATGTGAATAGAACATATATAAGTCATTTTTGTTGTATTCACATTTGAATAATGTATGTATGACAGCAAGTTATGTTATATTCATATGTGAATATAAGAAAACATATTCACAAATGAATATTTGAATAAAACATATATATTCACATTTTTTATTCACATATCAATATGTTTTGTTATATTCATATGTGAATATAACAAAACATATTCACAGATGAATATTTGAATAAAACATATATATTCACATTTTTTTATTCACATATGAATATTTTTTGTTATATTCATATGTGAATAGAGCATGTATAAGTCATTTTTGTTGTATTCACATTTGAATAATGTATGTATGACAGGAAGTTGTGGTCTATTCATATGTGAATATAACATACATATTCACAAATGAATATTTGAATAAAACACACACACACACACACACACACACACATATATATATATATATATATATATATATATATATATATATATATATATATATATATATATATATATATATTCACATTTTTTTATTCAAATATGAATATGTTTTGTTATATTCATATGTGAATAGAACATATATGAGTCATTTTTGTTGTATTCACATTTGAATAATGTATGTATGATAGCAAGTTATGTTCTATTCATATGTGAATATAACATACATGTTCAGAAATGAATATTTAAATAAAACATATATATTCATATTTTTTTATTCGCATATCAATATGTTTTGTTATATTCATATGTGAATAGAACAAAACATATTCACAAATGAATATTTGAATAAAACATATATATTCACATTTTTTATTCACATATGAATATGTTTTGTTATATTCATATGTGAATAGAGCATATATAAGTCATTTTTGTTGTATTCACATTTGAATAATGTATGTATGACAGGAAGTTGTGCTCTATTCATATGTGAATATAACATACATATTCACAAATGAATATTTGAATAAAACATATATATATATTCACATTTTTTTATTTACATATGAATATGTTTTGTTATATTCATATGTGAATAAAACATATATAAGTCATTTTTGTTATATTCACATTTGAATAATGTATCTATGACAGCAAGTTATGTTCTATTCATATGTGAATATAATACACATGTTCAGAAATGAATATTTGAATAAAACATATATATTCACATTTTTTTATTCACATATCAATATGTTTTGTTATATTCATATGTGAATAGAACATATATAAGTCATTTTTGTTGTATTCACATTTGAATAATGTATGTATGACAACTAGTTATGTTCTATTCATATTTGAATATAACAAAACATATTCACAAATTAATATTTGAATAAAACATATATATTCACATTTTTTTATTCACATATCAATATGTTTTGTTATATTCATATGTGAATAGAGCATATATATAAGTCATTTTTGTTGTATTTACATTTGAATAATGTATGTATGGGAGGAAGTTGTGTTCTATTCATATGTGAATATAACAAAACATATGTGAATATAACAAAACATATTCACAAATGAATATTTGAATAAAACATATATATTCATATTTTTTTATTCACATATCAATATGTTTTGTTATATTCATACGTGAATAGAACATATATAAGTCATTTTTGTTGTATTCACATTTGAATATTAGTTTTGCTTGTGTTCAGAAGTAAACAAAACATATCAAAACAAAATTATCTTCAGTATGTTCATTTTTTGTTGTGTTTTTAAGTGAAATCTCATATAAGTTCATCAGGTCTACATTTTTTATTTGTTCTTGTTTTTCGTTTATATGTATGTTTCACTGTTGGTGTTGTTTCTGTAAGTGTAAGTAGTTAATATTACGGAAAAGCGAAATGTGAAGTAACGTTTATATTTTAACAGAATAGTTTTGAATAAGTATGAAAAATGAAGAGATGATGTAAAATCGTTTATATATCAACTAATAATGGATGATTCTTACAAAAATTTCAAGTAAATCAAGTAATAACGAAGGAGTGTTACGAGAATGGACGATTATCACAAAAAATTAAAGTACACAACCTATTTTTGAATAATGAACAGTGTGAAAACAATATTTTTAGTTCTAAATCAAGTAATAATGAACGAAGATTACGAAAAATTTCAAGTAATGAAGTGATGATTTTTAGAAATGATTAGAAATCGTTAAAAATTGGAGAAAAAACGCTGATACCTTTCATTGTCAAGATTGATGAAATGGTCCCGTTCTTGTTTTCATCCGAAGACATTTTTCTTCTGCAAATGGTTTTCTTCTTATCGATGCTTCTTCAAATGGTTTTCTTCTTATCGATGTTTCTGAAAATGGTTTTCGTGTTATGGGGTATCGAAGAGGGAAATGATGTGTTTCTGTTGAGATTTGACGTATGGTGATATTACTGAAGTGCCCTAACCGTTTAATGTTTTTGAGTTATTTACAAATTTGTCACCGCTTATTAATGTGTTTTGATTATTTACAAGTTTGTCACCGCGCGTTTTTTAAGCTCATTAAATGATTGATTGAGAATGGTTCCCCCATTCTCAACCTTTTTTTCTACCTTCCTATATATATATATATATATATATATATATATATATATATATATATATATATATATATATATATATATATATATATATATATATATATATGACACTCAAACAATCCATTGAAGGATTTTCACAACTTTAAATACGAGAAGGATATACCCAAATACTATTTTCTATACGTACTTTATTATAAAGTGTTGTCATACGTATTATTATTATATAATAAATTTTAAAACAACACCTAGAATACTCGTTTTTAGAGGACCACTTATACAAATACAACCATCACCATGAAGGTAGAAATTGTCTCAATAAACATAGACAGCGATATATCCTCATCACTCTGAGATATATCAACAACTCACATGTCCTCCGTACAATTTATCATGCGCAAAAACTAGATTCGCTAAATTTAATAAGCCCATCCAATGTTTATTAAATTCATAGTTTAAAAGACCATTGTTCGCCCACAACTTGTATTATATAAAATAATAATACATACATAGATAGATACAACTAGGATGGGCATACTCAAGAGTACATGACCAAATTGTCACACATGTACCAAAACAATCGGACAGCCTGGTGAATGATCCGGGAACATCAGTGTTTCTTTGATTTAAATGTTTAAAATATTTTTCTAAAATGTTTAAAATATTTTTCTATTTGATATTATAATTTCTGATGTGTGAGCAGTTTCTTTAATATCAAGTAAATATCGGAATTTTATTTTATCAAGTATCTGTTTATTACCTTTAAGACGGAATAATTCATATACTATAAAATCATGTAGAGAGGAAATTGGTCATTTCGAAGGGTAATTAGGCCCTGATTTGAAATAATTCATAACAACTTTGTATTATGTTTTATATAGGGGTGCTTGAAAAAGATAAAGCAAAACAAAAAACAAAAAACCAACAAAAATAAACCAAACTGAAATAACAAAAAACGTCAATATTTATATTTCAAATTTAAGAAATACGTTAAAAACAAAATTAATGAACATGCATTTACAATATATTGAAAAACTATACTAACAAAAACAAGAACGCGAAAGAACACCGAAAAAACCCATGGTATAGTTTTTTAAAAGTC